TACTGTTTTGGGAAAGGACATGGGAGAAACCCACAGAAATAGAGAACTATTCAACATAGAGAGTGATGACAAGTCCTTACACACATACAAATAAATATGCTAATCCAATATCCATTAATGAATTAAAGAAAAGAATTGCTTGCTTGGATTTTTCAATTTTCAGGTGTGAAAGATTCACTGGACTGACAAGTAGTTCACAATTTAGAAAATACCCCAGCTGTGACAACCAAACTAAGGCACTGTATTACAGCTGATCTACAATGCTAACTTTTAAACAAAGTCAGTTCTCTCATACATGGAAACTGTGACAAATTCCAAGATATAGTGAGACATACAAAAGTAGTTTCATTAGTAAAGTGTGAAGGATTAAACCCAGTTTGTACAGGGGCTCTGTTCTTGGCACTTTTCTTGAAGGTAATTCCAGAGCCGTAAAGACAAAGTGTCACCTGGACTGCAGAGCAATGCAGTACTCATGTCTGTGCTACTCCTGCCAGGAAAGGGCCCCGAGTGCCAACAGACTTGGAACACTCCCCAAATCATTTCAGCAGCAAACAGCTTATGAAATACACATCCAAGTTAACCTTAGCAGTCACTGAAGTCTAGTGACTCAAAACAGCACCACTGACCCCCACCTCGCCACCAAAAAAAAATAAAAAAATAAAAATTTAAAAATTAAAAAAAAAAAAAAAAAGCACAAAAAAACCCCACCAGACATATTCCTCAGGAACGAAATAGAGGTTTCTTAGACTAACCTGTGAGATCGAGAAACTTTATCTTTACGAAGCCTAGGAAAAAAGTTTAACCTATTGCTTTTGGTCAACAGCCACTTCTATTTCAACACTAGAGACCACAATGGTTCAAACGTGTTAGATCATCCCCCCAGTTTGAAGGAGAAAAGCAAAACACTACAGGAACAAAGTGTCTTGTATAAGCAAAATACTGACACCAGCCCTGCAGTTCAGTCACTAGCATGAATTAAACTATAAATTTCCTTACAGAGTCTTTGTTTGCTAGCCATGTACAAATATGCAAAATTAGACTTGGGATGGAAAGATGTTACTGGAGATACACGGGACATCTCCACAGCCACAGAAAATCAAGTCTTGATCTTCATCTGCTTTATTTCCACATTTCATTAAGATCTCCCAGCTCTTGATCAGACCTCCCAAAGGGCCTTCTACCATATGAAAATTATTTTGAAGAAGTAAGGAAGCACCATGTGGTCTTTTTAGACTACACACTCCAGAACTTCCTCCTGTTGCAAAACAATTCACTCAACAAAATAAGTCAAGGAAAATCCCAGCCATTTTGATCATTTTCAGAAACAGGAACTTGTTACGACCAACTGCAGATGCAACAACCTCACTGGTTTCCAATTCACTTCCCTAAATGAAAGCTTGACGGTCTGTTTCTGAGCGAGATCCTTTATAAAAGGAGCTGAGTTCAGACCCGCCTATTTTTCCCTCATCTATCATGTGTTTTAACAGTTGAAAGTCAAGTTACTTCCCTCCTCCAAAAGCTTCTCCCCATTGTTACCATCAGTAAGCACCATTTGAGGCTGGCAGCTGCCTTTTACTTGCCCCACACAAATAAACCCCCAGTGAAGCCTCAACGCATTTGTCAGAACAATTTTGAGAATGAAACTTCTATTCTGTGGACTAGGATTGCCCTCTCAGTTGAATTACCACAGCTTGCATATCCTTAATGTAGCCCCTGTATCTCATTCATCCACTCAGCAATGGCCCTTCTCACCGCAGCAAAATCAAGTTGCTAAATCCCACTTCTTCATCGGAATGCTTTCCTCACTTGCTGTATCTAATCATAATTTATTTAACACAACATGGTCAGCTGAGGGAGATTAATCCATATCATTCTGGTGAATTTAAAACAACTTTACGATGACAATGGTTTGTTAGGTCCAAAAGGTTAAGAGCTGTAACATGCCAACTGCAACAACTTGCCCCAAACCACTGAAGCATCACAGTTTTACATTCCTTTTCTCCCCACAGGGACTTGGGAAATGCATTTAATGTCATTTAGCACTACTTCAGCAGTTGCTGGAAATTCACTAGTATGAGAGCTGGAATTCAAGAAAATGGTAAATCTCACTAATGAGTATATGATAGAAACTTAATCATACTTCAGTACCTCTTTACATGGCAAACCTGTACAGCACCCAGAGCCCATGCCAAAGGACAGCCACTATGCAGCATCCATATTAAAGCCTGTATTTGAAAGCTACGAAAGTACAGAGAACCACACAAAGGTAAACACTTAGCAGCTCAGGTTTTGTTCACAGAAGATACTCATTCTGTTTTCTCCTCCCTTCCTCACACACATGCACTCATACACAAACCATGCTTTTTATTCCTCAGAGCAAATTCCCTCTAAATAGTACTCACTAAAAAAAACTTAAACCAAACAAAAGAAAAAAAAAACACCCAACATCTTATCAACTATCATCTTTCTGTAACCCTCTGGAACTACTATCTTCTGCAGAAAACATATGAGGACAGGCATCACTGTGTTCCCCCCTCACAGGACTACTTAACTCATGTTAAATAGTTGATCTCTCCATTTAATTTACAAAGCCCAGTTGCTAAGCAGGGCAGTGGAAGATAGGTTGCGTGACATGACACCTGGTCACTAAGACATTAAATAAAATTATGGAGTTCCCTAAGGACACAGAACCCCCACACCAATTCTAGAGTTACAGCTTTTCATAAAGCATCGCTCCAACCATCGCTCTGGTACATGAAGTTTTAATCATCTAAGTCCTTCGCACTGTGACTCAAAACTTATCTTAAGGCATTGAAAGTTTTATCTTTCATTCCCTTCACATCTTCAAATGCTACTTTACCAACTTGAAATGCAGTCAGCCACGTGGCTCAGATCTACCTCCACCTAGCAGTACCTCCTGCATGCATGAGGGCATTACTCCTTCAGAGGATGAACTTGTAATTTACTCTCTCATTACAATATATAAAGCCCATTTTAACACTTGTTCACAAGATACACGCCAGAGTTCAAGGAATTGCCTATCAATTTGTAGTTATGAGGGATGCCTTGGGTTTAAGAGCCTGAGAATATTTTTTCTTTTAAAACATGAACTTGATTTTCATTTGTTGTCCACAATTTTGAACGTGTGTATCTCCCACTGACAAGATTCTGTCTTCAATGATACCAAATAGTTAAACTCTCAACTGTTATATACCGACTGGAAAATAGAAGGAAAAATTAACAGGGATATATCTTCCCAGGAAATGGTCATTTTTCTTCCTCTCGTGTGTCTTGCGTACAGGCAGCTATGAAATTGCATGGAATGCTACCAGCTTCAGTCTCCCCCATGCTCATTTTCTAAAGTAGTAATATTAGCAACAATATCCACAGTCCCTTTCCAGACCTTAATATACCACTAGTAAATTATTTCTACCTCATTTTCATCCTGCCTATTCTGTATAGTACTTTTATTTTTATATATATATACACACACACACACACACATACACACACACATATATATAAATACACACACAGAGACACAGAATACTTTTAAATACATAAGCCATGATTTTTTTTTAAGCTAAAGCTTCCAGTAACAGATACAGTAGGCCAGTCCAGACACAACCTACAGATTAAGAAGTGCAGAAAGCTACCAAACAGCAACATAGGAGACATCAATAGATTTTTTTAAAAATATACAAGAAAACAAGAGAGAATACATGGTATCAAGACCGCTGATCTATTTAAGCTATGGTTTAGACTCAAGTCAGTCTTAATCAATGCTCCTTATGTCAGCATCTCTTAGACATATACACAAGAGTAGATATACTGGAAGGTTGGCATGCTGTTTGCCACTTTAAGGGTTAGCTATGAAGTCGTCAGAACCAAAACCTGGACTTATTTTGCAGAAGTAATACTACCTCCTTTTAAGAAATACTGCATCATCAGAATTGGACTTACATGCACCTGCACCAGCATTACTTAGTAATGGCCAGCAGCCAAGAGACTGCTTGGTATAAAACCTGCTGATCTTTGCTTGAAAGTATTTCTTACCATGTCCAAAAAAGAATGGGAAAACACTTAATTTTAGACATTAAAACCTGCTGTTGCTCTCCTGAGTTCAATGCTGGACAGAGTTACTACTGGTAAACAAGGCCACTTAACGTCATGCAATTAAATTCTTTCACCATTCTACTCCTTGGTGTCTCCAAGCAGCAACTGACAGGTGAGTGGGTTGAAAAGAAATAAAACTGTCAAGACAAAACATCACTAGCTCATTGTTTTTTAAGAAACATTTTGACTTCAACCTGGTTTCATGCATTAACTAGCTAATGCCAGTCCAGAATAGACCATCAATCTATGAGACAAAGCCACCAACCATCTTCAAGAAAACACAAAGCAAACTACTGGACAGCTCATGAAGTTGATGTCAGATATTTGGGACCTCAGCATAGCCCTTAAACTCTCCAAAGGCTGTCCCAATCTACAGCGTAGCGTTATCCAAGTGCCTTGCCATTTAAGCACACCACCATCTAAACCTCTTCAGAAGCCTGCTGTGGTGAAGGCCACACTTCTACCGGTGCTTGGCCAGCTCCTGGAGTAGCATTTATGTCTCTGCCTAGCTTAATCCTGACCGAAGAAGGCAGTGACAAGCGTGTGTCCATTTTGCCCAGTGTCCAGTTCCCTCCCCTCTTTGCAAGCCCCTGCTCCACAAGGCACGTATCACACTGCCTTCATGGATAAAAGACAAGAGGTCATGAGTGGGGGGGGGGGGGAGAAATATGGCCGAAAGAGAAGTATTATGCAATAAGAAAAGAAATGCAATAACAACTCATCCTTTCCTGGAGATTTCTCATAACCCTTACGGTTTGCAAGCTGGAATACAGCAAGTACGAGAGCCAAACAGCTCCAAGGGACACTGAGGACCCCCGTGGGCAGCCTCCTCGGCCCTGGGGCTTCGCGGGGGGTGGGGGGGGGAAACAAAAAGGGATGCTCACAGTCCAGGTGCTTTTTCTTGGGCCCCATCACTTCATGCGTGGTGGCTTTGCAGACGGCTCTGGCTACGGCTGATCCCGTAACGCTGTACTGAGCAGCTGCGATGCGATCTGTCAGCGTCTGACCCGACATCTTCGCCTGGCGTGCCTGCTGCTGCCTGCTCTGCAGAGGCGGAAAACACGCGAGGGGAAGGGGAGATTCCGGGTTTATCGCCGAAGGGAGGCGGGCGGGGGGGGGGGGGGGGGGAGTGGGGGCGGCACGGCAGAGACACGCACGGACACACGCACACGGTCACACGGACACACCACACGCACAATGGTCCTTCAGGCAGCCCGGCCCCTCCCGAGGCGCAGCCCCCCCCCCCCGTTGTGTAAGCCTTCGCCTCACTAGAAGCCGCCTGGGGCAAAAATAAAGAGTAATTTAGGCGCCGCAGGGAGAGGATGAAGGGGAAATAATGACGGTACCAAAAGGAGGCTGCACACAAATAACGGACGAGCCCCCCGGTGGGGGGGGGGGGGGGGGAGGAAGGACACCCCCCCCACACACACCTGCCCCGGCAGCGCCCTCCCCCCGAGAAGCCGCCGCCGCGCCCCGGCCCCGCCGCAGCGCCCGCCCCGCCGCCACCCCGATGGGAGATTATGGCACCGTCGCGCCATGTTACGCCCTCCCGGTGCCTCTCCCCCACCGCCACCCCCCGGCCCCACCGGGGACACCCACCCACCCACCCCCACACACACACACGCACCGGGAAACGGGGCGGGCGCCGCTGGATGCGGCGGCGCCCAGCGCCATGCAGCAGCCCGGGGCTGAGCGGCGTGGGGAAGGAGGGGACGGGGGAAGAGGAAGAGGAGGATGAAGCCAGCGCCCGACCTGTCAGTGCGTCCTTCCCTCCCGTCCTCCTGCCGCCGCTCCGGGGCGGGCACCGCCGCCTCCCGCCGCGACCGCTCCCCGGCCCGGTCCGCCGCGCTGCCCGCTGGCGAGGCGCAGCAGCAGCCCTCCTCCTCCTCCTCCTCCTCCTCCTCCCCCCCCACCCTCCCTCCCTCCCTCCCCCCGGCCCCGGTAGCCCCAGGTGCGGGGCGGGCCGCCCTCTCCCGCCGCCCCCCGGGGATGCGCTGGGCGTCCGCGCCCGGGATCCGCCGCCGCCGCCGCTGCTATTTCCAACCCGCGGCTTTAATCCCCGCCGCAGCCTAATCCCCGCGCTACTGCCGCAGCAGCGCCGCCCCTACCCCGGTGCAGAGGGCGGGACGGCGCGGCGCGGCGCTGCCCTTGTTGCCGCCGCCGCAGGTCGGTGGCCCCGGCGCAGTCAGGTGACCCCGCTCGGCGCGGCCGGGTCTGCCCGGGCCGCCCGGTACCGCGGGGCAGAGCCCCCCCCCCCCCCCACGCCTCGCCCCGCCGCGCCTCTTAAAGGGGACGCCGGTGTGCGGCGTGTCCCCCCCCGCCTCCCCCCCTTCCCACTCGCCTCCTGCTTCCCCGAAGGGGCGGCCGGCCGGCGCTGCCCCCACGCGGGTGCCGTGTGGGGGAGCCCGGGGAGGATCCGCGGGGCCCGGAGGTTGGGGGCGGGAGGGGGGGAGCTGAAGCCACTGATGCTTCCCCTTGCCTGCAGCGTGGTCCTGTCGTTAACGCTTAAAATAACGCCCTGAGGGATCCCCAAACTGCACATACGCTGGATTTCTCCAGAATCTTTTTTTATGATGTTGTTGCTGTTATCAAAGATATACGAAATACGTCCCCAGAAAGGTTTTCTTTCTGCTATCCAAGATGTCCTAAAGGTCTTGGTTACAGCAGCGCGCTACGCTAGGGAGGATGTATTGCCACAATTTTATTGTGTGATTGAAGCCTGACGGAGTGTTCTGTGGAGTACTGAGAAATGCAACGTACATATATTACCATAAATTGGTTGAACTTAGTTTTGGAGTAAAGTGATCTAAGTGGGTGGGGTCCAAATGAGATAGTAGTGGTAGCAATTACTTCGAGCTGCCATCAGAACAAATTTCAGAAGACCATGTAAGTGCGTGTTATTAATTAGCTGAAGAAAACAGTATGTACAGTCAAAATTGAAGGTTTGTGCGTATGTAGTGATAAATGGGTTGTGTTGCATACAACGACGTACGGCACCATTTTAGTCTATTATGCCAGGAGAGGAATATTGATGATGGATTGTGGTCTGTGACAGTATGGAACAGCAGCTTTTTACTACTACTTTTGGGTTTTTTTCCTAATAACCAAGAGATTTTAAAGTCCTAGGTATCCTGAAAGCTTGTGAATCCTGTTAAAACAATACTCAAAAGTTCAAGTTACTGTTTCTATGGAAAATCTCTTCCAAAATAACTATTCAAATGACGCCTGTGTCTGTTGAAGAAACGTGTTTGGATTTTCAGGCTTTCGATATTGGTTCAATCTTCATTTTTGCAGAGCAGATAGAGACGTTTTGATTTCAAGTTTCAAATATTTTCTCAAATACAGTGTTTCAATATGGAGAGGGATTTCATTTCAAAAAAGATGTAAAGTGTATATCGCTAATGGCTAGCAATAAGCATCAGGGGTCTGCAAACTTTGAGTGTTCCCATAAGTGAGACTCTCATATTCCAATAGTGAGAACGTGTCCGTGCTTCCCAGCTCTATTCAGTAATGAGTAGCAAATGAATAAATGCTGGAGTTGCACAGAAAGATAATATAACACTCTGTTCTTTAGCATTACTATAGTCTACTGTTCAAGGACACACACATTTTAGTAATATTTAGAAATTGTGTTTCATTTACCACTGAAATGTTAACTTTTGCTCCTAGAATTTCATCATTAATGGGGTGATTTGGGGGAGCTGGAATCATGTCTTAGCAGAGGCACACGCTTTTTCCTCTGTACTTCACAGTTATTGGGGTCATAATGCCAATTGACTTAAGAGGAAAGAAACACTTGGGATCTGCAGATATTTCATGTTCTATTACTGGCACTAAGAGTGACTCTGAACTCTTCTTGGTCATATTGATAGGAGTTTAGAATGGCTTAACTTTCAAAAAGATAGAACGCTTCTTTTTAACTGGTATATTATAGAAGAAAAAAAAAATTACACAAACTGTTCTGGAGTTTGCTGATTCCACCCAGCAGAAATTTAGTGTAGCTTTACTTGCTGCAAGCAAGGTAGTTTTCAAGTTTATGCTAGGTAAAATATTTAATTAGTGATGCAACTTTTTATTGATGTCTAGTGTATATCTTCAGTGTGACGGTCTGGATACTTTCTGAACTAGTTCGTATTGTTATCAGCAGTTTCTGTCACTGAGATTCCTGGCTCAGTCACCAAAAACTATGATTGTTAATAGCTCATTTTATATCTTCATGTTGTCAAACTATTTAAGCAAAAGATAAGTCAGACAATTTGTACTATTGCCTTAAAATTTATGTATTGCAAACTGAATTTACATGCAAAGAATAAAGAGATCCTCCAGTATTTTGGTTATAAGCCAGCAGGTGGCCAAGTCATGATCTGGAGTATGCAAATGAACAAATTGCAAGATTGCAATTACAGAAGCATTTTTAAGATGTTAATTTATCTGCCAGTACTTGCATATTCCGCAAAACAATATGATAATTTGTCTTATTTACATCTCTGTCATGTTTGGTCAGTACTGCTCTACATGGGACTTTTCTGTTTCTTCTTGAAGTCTGTGGATGGACTTCCATTGACAGCCCAATACAAAGATTTTGTTGAGCGAAACCTGGGTCACTTGACCCTGAAAGATTCAAGAGGTATTTCAGACAAATCTCATTCTCAAGGAGCATGTTCTGAATTTTTAATGCATGATGATCTTTCTGAAAACCTAAGATGCTTTAAGAGGGTGGGGAAATAAGACAACATTAGTACTCTTTAAGATACAGAGTAAAGGGATGTGATCTACTGAAGCTGTATTGCTTTTGGATTCAAAAACAACCACCAACCCTCCCAAAATAATCCAACCACACAAAACAGGAGTTCAGGTTTGTAATAAAAGATACACAGGAAATAGGAACCATCTTGAATAAGGAGAGACCATGGAGGGAGCTGCCCAGGACGAAATAGATAGGGGCTTGGGGTTGTCATTTGACAAGGGAGTTTTAGACTCAGTTCTGAGACGTCACCTGGTGTGCTGGCTCTGTGAAACCCAGGTTCACAGCTTGGCTGGTGGGATGCACCAGGAGATCTAGATGAGGGCCATATAAGCAGCTGGAAAGGGTTCTTGCTGTTAAGAATGACCCAGAATTGTGGGGGTTTTTCTTGACTGTTTGTAATTCCTCTTTCAACTCCACCATGAAGACCCTGAAGGAGAGAAGATATATTAATGACAAGCTGAGCAGACATTTTGAGACAAACGCTCAAAGATAATTCTTAACTGAATTTGAAATGAGAAAGAAAGAGTCGGTCTGTGCTAATCTCACATTCAGGCACCCACAGGGTTGGAAAGAGGCATGTCTAGAGGCTGATTCATCACACCTCACACCTGAATTCTGCACCAGAGTTGCCTGTGTCTCCTAAAGCATGTAGAACTCTATTTTGTGCACTTTAAGATATGGGCTTATGACCATATTTCTGCTTTTTTGTTTGTTTGTTTCCCAGTTTTTCCTCTCAGGTCTTCCAGTTCTTCAGCCAGCTTCGATGCCCTTTCCTCCTGCCTTCGCAGCCCAGGCAGAGGCTCAGCCCCCCAACCTGATTACTCCTGAGCCAGCATCAGGGCCAGCACTGCTGCTTTGCTTCTCCCTCTTGCTCTTAGGGCCAGTGGTACAAAGAATGCTCCTGGAGAGGCTGGCTGTAACCATAGTGATAGCAGCAGTCCTGAACAGAGCTGCTTAGCTCTGGGAAGAGGGGAAAAAAGGACTTTTCAAAGGAGGACTATCCTCCTGACTTTGTATCAGGTTGACGCAGCCAGGAAGGTAGCAGTATTCTCCCTCTACGGGGCCTACAACAGAAGTTGCAAACTACCAGTAGATACCCAAATTTTTAAATACCCACGAGTTTCTGTGCTTCTGCTGTTAAATAGAACCTCATTACCTGGTCTTGTGTGGATTCTGGCCACAACAATTAATTCAGCCTCCATACTCACCCTCCTTAATGGCAGCTGTTCCAGAAGTTCCTTTGGTTACTGTGATAGAAAGCACCAATGAGAAATTAAAGCAGGCTGTCAATTTTCCAGTCAAAATGATGGCCCAAGAAGAAAGTAGCCTGAATGTGCTCATACATCCCAAGTAGACTATTCATTAAATTTTTGGGAACCGCATGAATTACTGAATCTAAGGGAATAACAATGTATAGTGGTAAGGGTACAGGCTAGGAGGTATGGGCACATCCTCTACCTCCCACGGGAAATGCCTTTTTTTGTGTGTTTGAAGAACTTCACAAATAAAAAAGATAATTTTGGATAAGGGAGAGAATTAAGACGGGAGAGAAAGTTATACAAATAATAGCTAACTGGCTCTTTTACTGGTTGTTAGTCCATGTCAAACCAAGGTCATGTTCTGCAGAATATGGACTGATTGGCATATCGCAGAGCTGATGATTACAGAAAGGCGGTAATTGGCACATGTACTGTTCTGGACAAAGCAACCAGCCATGTTCCTTCCCTTTGTCCAACATGCTGACTCCCACAGGGACAACCTTTAAATCTTAGAGACCTCTGTTGTTTGATGCATTAGTGGACCCAGTCATCCACATCACATGGATATTTCTGCTGTTGGAGTAGCCTTTGGATTGGGAATGCCAATAATGCCAAGGTTAATAGACCAGAAGTAGGATAGATGGACACACGTATCAGAAGTGGGACAAGGGTCTTGTAATCATGGAAGTCAGTACCTATGAATCTTTTCACTATTTGGTACTGATTTTGGACATTAGTTTTCTAATTTTAGTAGAGCCTCCAATGCAAAATTCTGGAGTTATGAAGTATATTGCACCTCTACACAACAGACTAAAGCTAGGCTTAATTTTTTTTTTAACCTTTTCTTTTATACTGAGCACTAATATCTTATTCTACAGATTTATTTAAACAAGTCTG